CTCCTGTGCCGTGCCTCATGTGTGCCGTGCGTTTATGTAATGCCTCTTCCTCTTGGCCTCCCGAGAAGCCTTAAAGCTTCCCCAAAACGAAGAGCCAACAACGAAACGGGGGAAAAGCACTTGAAGTTCTCTCTGGGCAGCAGAGAATTCCCAGAAACAAGTTCGAACCCGAGACGGAGACGGAGATCTCGCGGCAGGAGAGGCTGAAAATTCTGTGAGAAATTCCAATGGTAATGCAAGGTAATGGTCGCTGGTTGCTGGTCGCTGGTCTCTGGCTTCCCAGGCTGTTTCCTCGCTGATGATGCTGCCGCTGCTCCGCCCTGCCCCTGGGTTCGCGTAGCTTGCTTGATTAGTGACGCTGTTTACCTGCGGCATGATGCTGTGTGTTGTACGTGTGGTACAGGTTTGTGGAACGAATCTATAAACTGAAATAGCATGCTGCCCCGGCCAGACAGATACGAGGCTGTGTCTGTGTTTTACTGTAGTTTTACCAATGGAAATTCCAACGCACAATTTTCGCAGTGCTTTCCCTAAACGCCCACGTGTTGTGCTCTACCTTTGGAACCGTCTGCAATTTCCTCCTCTCTGCCCGTTGTCCTGTGTCTCCTGCTGCTCCCAGCCTTTGGGTTATTTACAAAACACGTTTCGTCAGCATTTAATTGAAATGCCATTAAATTTCCACTGGCCCTGGGGCAGCACATTCTCTTTCTCGCTGCCGCATTCTCATGCAAATAGAAGCGTAGAAACAGATTAGAAAGTCCAGCGGGATGCCACAAGTGGCTGCTTGGTTGCGTGGCCTCTTGGAGAGGCTCTTAAATGGTTAATGCGGGTGCAGCGTCTCCAAGAGGTGTTTACGACAGGCTCTTAGGCAGTGCCTAGAGAACCCCTCAATGGCCTGGAAGTGCCATTAATCAAGGCAGCACGAATCGGATCCCATGCGACACTATCAAACGGTTCCCCCCTCCCTTACCAGTGCGGCAGGGGCAGCTTGAAAGGTAAACAGACAAAAGCCATCGACAGACAGACAGACAGACAGACAGATAGACAGCCAGACAGACACATCAATTTTAAAGTTCTCTCATTCTTTATTCTTCGGTTTACGAAATGGAAAAGCGCAGCGCATGAAATCCGAACGAAACAGCAGCGCGATCGAATCGTTCTGTCTTCGATCTCCCAACCTATCGATGGGGCTGCCTCTCTGTGAATGGTGGAGAGGTGGAGTGGAGTGGGGCGGGGTGGGGAGTGGAGTAGGGGGACGCATAGCTTAAAGTTCAATGACTGAAAAGGTGCGTTGTTCTGACTGCGGTTGTCGTTCTTCTTGTTGCTGCTTCTCCTGCTGCTGCGGTTGCCTAGAAATCCATCAAAGCCCCGGCGATGCGGGCCACTTTGACTTGGACTCCATTTATATTGGCCATTTGGTTTTGGTTCTCTGCGCCCGGCTAGCGAAAACGTGCAAAAATGCGGCCTGAGCTGCAGCCCGACCACGATCGGCAATCAATCTGCAGATTCCAGTCGCGAGGAGCGGCACGCAACAAGCAATCTTCTCCTCTCCTCCCCCTCTCCCTCTCCCTCGCCTTCTGCTCCGTTGCCGTTGAACTTGTGGCCTTAAGTGGCTGCTGCTGCTGCTGCTGCTGCAAGTGTAGCACCAAGTTGGGTAAACACCAGCCTCAGTGGAGGAAAACAAGCTGCCTCAAAAGTACGTATTATCTAAAAGGCAGAGATACACAGAGAGTTACAGAGTAAATATTGTATAAGCAAGAGCTCGGTTTAGGTTTGGCTGTGCAACTGCGGATGTGGCAAGTAGTTTCCATAAGAAGACTGAGAGACTGTCTATCATTAGTTAATCCTGCAGTTCCATCAACAGCACATTGGTACTCGAATTTAATCCCAAAATGCTAGTGCCGAATGGTTCTCTGTTCGTGGATATTCGAAAGAAATGTAGCCGTTCGCTTATGGGCAACTTATACAATAAATTACACGAATAATTTCCTATTGGAAGAGGCAAGAAGTTTTCCTAGCATTTCCTTCTCTTGAAATAGGGCTTAAGCCCTTCCTCCGCTTAAGCTCTCAGATTCCAAGCCTGTACCAGGACCAGGACCGGTATCCGTTCTCCTCCTTGGTTGTTTACGCCCAGACGATGACAGACGCGTCTATTTATCTGCATCTCTGTATCTGGCGGGTCTTTTGCTTGGTTGGTTTACAATTTGGTTTTGCGCTTCAAGTGAGAGAAAAATGTTGGGAAAATAAACAAAACAACAACAAAAAAGCCAGCAAGAATTCCAGTCAGAGGATGAGCGCACCGCCGCATCGTACCGATCCCATCTGAACCGAACCGAACCGAACCGAGATGAACTGAAGTGGATTGGCCCCAAAACCAAAAACAACAAAAAAAAAGGGGTGGGGGGGGGGCCCTGGGCAAACTTTGGGCTGCAACAATCAAATGCTCATCAGCGCACTTGAAAAATAATGCGTTTAAGACAAAAAGAGAGACCCAGAGATACAAACACAGGCACAGGCACAGGCGCAGACACAGATAGAGTCAGGCAGTATCTAGATACAGATACGGATACGGACCGGCAGACAGAAAACGCACTCTGTATCTGTATCTGTATCTGTTTCTTTTCTGGTATCCATGTACATATGTATGTATCTTTCTTTTTTTGGCCGGGCATTTTCATTGCTGGTTTTATTTTTCGTTGGCTTGTTTGTTTAGTTTTGTGGCAGCACACACACACGCAACGGCAGCTAAATGTTGCAGGTGGGAACAGGTTTTCGTGGTTGTTGTCTGCTCGGTGTTCGGTGTTCGGTGTTCGGATGCGGGCCATATCTCTTTTGGTCTTTCGGTCTCTCCCTCTCTCTCCATCTTTTGTACGGCGCGCGTTATTTATGCCCCACTGTGGCTGTAATTACAAATTTTTGTTTCCTGCAAAGCCTTTGAGCATGTGTGAGTGTTTGTATCTTTCGGATGATGATGCCCACGCTCACATGTGGCAGACACAAACGCGTACTACTGTTTCGAAGTATCTGTATTCTAAGTACAACAGGAGAGGCGGCGGCCCTTTTCAAAGTGCTGTGCCAAAAGCGCCCGCTGCGCCTAAGCATTCGCTGTTGCTTGATCAGTCCAGGCACGTAGCATATAGTAGCAGATAGCTGCCACTGCAACATGTTGCCGGGGCAATATGGCAGATCGATTGATGGCTAGTTAGGTAGAGAGGCAGCCAACGGGAACAGCCAGCGCTTTCTGCGGTAAGAATTGCAGGAGCCACCGACCGACCGGCTGTGTCTCACGCACGGCTGCTCTCCTGCCACAGGCACAGCCACAACCACTGGCAGCCCCCTTTTTCGGAGCGGCAGTTGCATGGTGGTAGTGGAGTGGTAGTTAACATTTGCCACAAATGGCGCGATGTAATGGCATTTCTAATATGGGCACATTAATGACTAGAGCACACAGGTGGGATGGAAAGGAGGGGGGATGGAACCATTGTGTGCCATTGCCGTTTGCAAAATTAACAACCTCCGATGTAGCCAGCCCCTCTTTGTGTTCTTGTTCTTTATCGAGCTTCAATACCTGAGCAATTAGTGCGACATTTTGTGGCACACAGTCAGAGTCAGAGCCAAAGGCAGAGGCAGCTGTCCCTGTGTCTTGAGCAGCTGACAAGCACCCAGAGGGCTATGGAGAGGGGCGGGGGAAGAGTAAGCAAAGTGAGCTCTTGCAAAATGACAGCTGACAATGGATGGGCCAACGGCACACCACGCCACTCCTCATGCAACAACAACAACAACAAAATACAAAAGGAATATTGCTGCAGTCAGCGTCGGGCCAGTCGGGCGTCGAGATTTTCATGAAATTATTGAAAATTTTCAAGCGAAAAAATACATTTTTTGGATTTGCCAGCGAAAAACGATAAAGTGCTGTGCCCACACAAAAATGGAGAACAGAAATTGGGTTCACAGCACAGTTTGACAGCCACTGCATAACCTGTTGCTGTTGTGCCACACGAATCACTATGAAGGGGGGGGGGGGGGGGGCGGTGGCACAGAGAGTGGGGTAAGCACCTGCCCCATAAACGGCCATTCGTGTTGGCCACAATTTAACACAAGGTCGCGAAAACAATAAGCCAAACGACTCGAGACTCCGCTTATCTCTGCTCTGCTCGGCTCCGCTGTAATTGTAGAAGTCGGAGCTGGTCGAAGGAACTAATTGTGTGAGCAGAGACCATGGAGGGAGACCAGAGCCGGGCAGAGCCCCATCTCTATCCGCACCCGCACCCGCACCCACAAATGGGGGAACAAAGCGAAAGCGGAGGAGGCGACAAAATAAACAAGGTGTTAATTTCCACGTAAACCGCCTGTACTCCCTAGAGGCCTCTTTTAGGTGTACCCTTTGGGTGGAAGGGTATTCCGAATAGGAGTTTGAACTAGACTTTATTTTCCTCAGAGTATGAAATAGCCATATGTACTCTTACAGAATAAGAACACATATTTAATATTTAATTAAGAATCACACTTTATATATGCCTCATACGGGTACATACTCCTCTCTTAGGGGTATTATGTAGGGTAATTAAAGCTTCGCCTTTGTCTCATCTTTCCTTTTCGTTCTCTCTTCTCTTCTCTTCTCGCGTCTTCTTTGTGCCTGTGTGCAAATTGAATTCCCGATTCCCGTGACTGTGTTTTTGCGAAAGCAGATAAGATTTCAGCACGTTTCATGCTGCCGCCGCCTGGCCGCCTGGCCGCCACCCACACACAGAAGCCGCAGCACCGTCGCGCATACAGAGCGCATGCAGAGGGGAGGCAGAGAGAGAGAGAGAGAGAGCGAGAGATGACAAAAGATAAGCACGCCTTTGATAACGCACTTGACTTTGCCATTCCCCCCCGAGCCCTGCTCCTCCCCTGCTCAATCATCAAAGCAATGAATGAGAATGTGGGCATTCACACATTGTATTCGTTTAATTAAAGGATACACTTAGAGGTTCATTGGATCATTCAAAGATACTTACGAACTGTGACCATTTTCGGATCGTAGGCACACACGCGCCGCTCCACGGCCGCTATCTTGCGCTGGACCCGCCCGGCCCGCTCGCCCACCGACTGCAGGTCCCGCTGCAGATCGTCGAAGATGTCGCTGGCGATGAGCACCAGGCTGGCCAGCTGCCGCAGGGCATTGCTCAGGGTGATGTTGCTGATGGAGTCGAACTCGTGGCCGGAGACGACTTTCGAGGAGCCGGCGGTGGGTGAATGTGGGGCGCTGGCGTTCCGCGCCATCGTCGGACGCTGCTGGCTGGGGTGCCGCGAATTGGGCAACGACTGGGAGGCACGACTCGGGCCGTGCGTCGGCGAGGTCGAGAGGAATTCGACGTGCTGCTTCAGCTTCTTCATGGGAAGGGCCGCTGGTGGGTGGGGCTGACCGGCTCCGTCCTCTCCATCCCCGTTCACATGCACCAGGACTCTGGTCAGCGAGGGCGAGGTGGGCGAGGTGGCCCGGCAGTCGGCGACATCCGTTCCCGCCTCTGGCGACTGCTTGTTGATGCAGTTGTTGTTTTTGCACTTGCCGGGCGCACAGTGGAAGCGGGTGGAGGCATGTCCAAGGCTGGCGGCCGTCGCCTGGGCCACATTTACGGGTTGCACCACGCGCTGTACAAAGGGCATCTCTTGGCTGCTTGGATGCTGGCTTCACTAGCTGCTGCTCCTCCTCCTCATTGACTTGGGGCACTGCTCACGTACGGATCGGGCACTAGATTCATACCACACAAACACTATCTCTGCGTCTGCCTTTTAGCCAAAAAACAAAGAGCGAGAGAGACACAAACTCACACTGGTACAGACAGAGAAACTGGTCAAACAACTTCTGGGCTTGAATCCTCTGCAGCTTCAGATTCCGTCTCCTGCTTTACCTATTGTTGTCTGTTTTCGGCTCTCGGCCGCCGCATAAATTCCTTTGCTTTTGGCCGTTTTCTGTGGCTGCTGGCTGCACACACGCACACAAACTAGTTGGTCGCTTGGGGCGACGCTGCTGCTGCTGCTGCCTGGCACTGGTTTAATTGAAAGCAAGCCGGGACCGGCGTTTGGGGCGACACTGTGAACTGGTTTATGCTCTGCACTTTACACCGCATTATGCATTAACGTGGCCTGAACCGACAAAACCCGACACCAACACCAACCAATTTACACGCCGAACACGATTTTGTAATAATTACTCTTTTATGGCTCTACTCTGTTTTGCTGCCGCCGCTTTTATTGCCGGTACGCGTGTTCCCCGCTCATTCGCAGCTTTCAAAAGGTGTGGACGAAATCAAGAACGATAACAAACCGCGCGCACGTCTTGCTCGTTTGCCGGGTCAAAAAAAACAGCCGATTAGCGATGAGCCAGGATGGTGCTAGAGCTACACTACCCTCGATATTACTATCGACGCATAGACATTTTCCGATGGTAGTTTACTATCGACCCTCAGAAATATACCATAATATACCGTCTCATTTTAAAAATATACCGTAAATATACTGTCGAATTCAAGTTATATTTTACATATTCCTCGTTTTTTATATTCCGTGGAATATTACTAGCTATATAGAACATTTAGCCATGCCCAAGTAATTTTATCCGATTAGTGAATCTAATTTCCAATTGACTGGTTTAAAATAACACTTGCTTTTATTGCATTTTGCGTATAAAGAGGTTTTAGCGAAAATGGTCAAACAAGTAAAACGAAAGAGGATAGTCGTTCCTATTGATCAATTTTTATATTCCGTCGAATATTATTAGCTAGATAAAACAATTCACCATGCCCACATAATTTTATACGATTTATGAATCAATTTTGTACTTAACTGGTTTATTCTAAATACTTGCTTATATTGGTCAATAGGTCAAACAAAAAAGGTTTTAGCGAAATAGGTCGAACAAAAAAGGTTTTAGCGAAATAGGTAAAAACAAAAACACGAAAGAGGATAGTCGTTCCTATTGATCAATTTAAAGATTCCGTTGAATAATGCCGGCTAGCTAAAATCCTTAGTTCTGCCCACGTCATTTTAGGCCGTTGATGAATAAATTTTAAATTTGAAATTGAACATTTCAAGACTGGCTAGTTTGTTGTCCTTGCTTTTATTGTATTTTGGCTGAACAAAAAAGTTCAACAAAAAAACAATCGCACTGTTGCTGGTATTTGAAGACATGATGCGTGTATAGGCCTTTGTAATTAAAGTATGCACATAATCTAAAATTATGGAATGGGACTCATTGTTTCTACCGATTCATACCCGATTCAAAGAGTGCAAAAAAGAGATTTGAAGACAGCAAAAAGAGCCAATAAACGATTTAAAGAAAGCAGTTCGGCCATCGATACTATCGAAATATAAATTCTTTAAAGGTGAATGAGCGAAAATGATTTAAATGCAATCCATTGGAATAAATGATGCACGTGAGTACGATTTGAGTGCGAAAATTAAACATTTTCAATTGTGGTTCACTATCAATGGAAGCACTGCGCAATCAACGAAGAGGAATTATTGAACAAAACAGCAAACACATAACATTCGGCTCATTTCAAATCAAAAAACGTATAAAAAACCTTTCGACTCTGGTAGATCGTTAGGATTTTCTTAGTTTCACATTCTTTTACATTTTTGCTTTATTAAATTTAAAATAAAACGGCCAGGAAGGTGATTATACAGTAGATCAGAATTACCCGATATTTTTGGGGCAGTGTAACCACACGAATTTAATTTACACCTTCTATCGATAGCTTCGTTTTTGACAACCCTGACCACGTACGGTCACACTTTTAAAATTTAGAAATAAATAAAGCATTTTCCCTGTAAAATAGAATAAACCAAAGAAAAAATTGGTTTGCAAACTAAGCAGCAGCATGCCAAAGTACTACTGCGACTATTGTGACACCTACCTGACGCACGACTCGCCCTCGGTGCGCAAAACACACTGCACGGGCCGCAAGCATCGCGACAATGTGAAGTTCTACTACCAGAAGTGGATGGAGGAGCAGGCCCAGCATCTGATTGATGCCACCACGGCGGCATTCAAGGCCGGCAAGATAACGAACAATCCTTTTGCTGGCGGACCCTCATCGGCGCCGCCCAAGCCGTCTGGCGTGTCCATCCCGCCGCCCAACATGGGTGCGCCGCCGCGTCCTGGTATGCCTGGCATGCCGTTTATGCCGCCTATGATGAACCCCATGATGACTGGAATGCGTCCGCCGCCCATTATGAATCCCATGGCCATGATGGGACCGCCACCGCCGCTGGGCACCATCCCGGGTGTCCGTCCGCCCATCATGAATGGACCAAAGTGACAAAAACACGACCTGCCAGAGAACAATCAAGATCATCGGCATTAATTAAGAGCTAGAGCATAAGTAACCTCAATTGCAAATAAAAAATAAATACATATTTAAATGTACTTTTATACGAAACATAAACCGTGTAATTTTGCCACAGATCGAAAGACATATACGCTTTTATTACACTTTTGGACTTACATATGTGCTATAGTAGAAGATTAGAATATAATGTGATTATAATTGTTATTGTAGGTGTTTATCATAGGATGCAAGTGTTCTATTAAGTTATATTGGGGATTTCCCCTCCATTGCCTGACAACATCGTCATTACTAAAGTAAAAATCACCGATCAGATCATTGGTTATCTGGACATTCGTTGGCGTTTGCTGGGCGAGACTAGTACTTGAGGCGGCTGATGCGTGCCCGAGATAGCATCGAATATACTCGACTCCGAACGCTGGTACTCGCTGCTAATGTTCTCCAGAGTCAAGTCGGCGTCCAGCACCAACACCTGAAACATCAAAAATACAGCTTAATTTGAGGAACTCGTGTGCATCTCTGGAGACGATCGAGTACTAACCTTGCAGGCCTGATTCCGGCGGTTATGTATGAGCCAATCCTCGTGCAGTTCGTGCAGCTCCTGGAGATACTTGAGCGGCACACAGCTCTCTTCGGAGCGGGCACGTTGTCGAATGCGTTCATGCGCCACTTCCGGGGACGTTCGCAAGTAGATAATGAGATCGGCCTGAACATGTATGGACTCTTCAATGAACTTGTACCATTCCTGCAGAGTGTTGTACATGCCCGTCTCCAGCGAACCATTGCGGTGCATGTTCTCCACAAAGCAGTACCTAATTGTAGAATGTTAAAACCGGATTCTGAACAGAGTAGGAAGGGGGTGGGGCCTTACCGGGAGCTAAAAATGGAGCGCTCCATTATTTTTAGCTTCTTGTCGGTGGGCGCTGTGTGTGCCTGCAGCATGGTTAGCGTGACATAAGACTGAAAGGGCATTGCCCACTTCTTGGGTTCCTTGTACATCCGCTCTAGCAGATTCACACCGTTTACGTTGCGCCACTTCTCCACAGGCTCAGTGAGCAGGCAGATCTCGTCCCTGTACTTCTCAAAGTGGTTCAAATACGTGGTCTTGCCGCTGCCGATGTTGCCCTCGATCAGTACCGTGAAGGGCTGCGTGCCCTCGGCGTACTTTTTGCCCTGCCTCGAGCTGGCTGCTGCTACGGACATCATGGCAGATAAACAGCGATCTGGACGTGAAAAACAGTCGGGAATGTAGTCAAATGTGATGGTTTCTTTTGTATTCTGACTAGCGCCAAGAAAGAGCACTGTACTGTAGGGCTGGTCGAGTAAAACTAACCACCAACACAGATGATCTCGTCATTTGCCGCCGAAGAAAAGCGCGGGAAAAAAACATTGTATTCTTTGTTTTCGTTGCCATCAACAGCTGGGCTGGTTAAAGGTGGAAAAGGGGTAGGGGTATGTGTGGGTCGTGGTCTAAAATAAATCTTAGCCTAAGGAATTGATTTACAGGCTAGTTTTAATTACCAATATACTGAATAATTTTCATCTCATGTAATGGGATATAAGTAGGGAATGGCAATGATGTACATATGATCTCCTACATCCGATGACTGGATACAGAAGCATCTATATAATGCAGATACTTAAATGCCAGCAGCATGAGGAAAACTCGTTTTTTATTTTAAAAGGACACGGTATTTCACAATAAATGCATTTGCGAATGGAGACTTTATTGAAAAAAGAACAGCTGACTTATCGATACACAACTTTGAACTATTGGTTCAAATTCCGATTACTTACAGCTGTTTGGCCGGCGAAATTATCGCCCGCAATTGTCATCTCGAAGACGCATTTTTGTCAATATTTTCAGAAAATTGTAAATAAATAAGAAAAAGAGATTTTAAGCGTACTTCTTTCCTTCAACAGCATGTCTATAGAAATCGAATCAGCCGAGTGAGTACATAAAAGGTGCCCCAGCGTGTCCTGCATGTGTAATTTTCCTTCCATCCACCCCCTCAACAGCGTGATTCGGCTTATCCAGCAGTACCTGAAGGAGTCAAATCTTATGAAGACGCTGCAGACCCTGCAAGTGAGTCCAACCGCCCTCCTCAGACAAATTTAAGAAATCTAGTTTCCCCACCACAGGAGGAAACGGGTGTCTCCCTAAACACAGTGGACAGCGTCGATGGTTTCGTCCAGGACATCTCCAATGGCCACTGGGACACGGTGCTGAAGGTGACGCAATCCCTGAAGCTGCCCGACAAGAAACTGCTCAATCTCTATGAGCAAATCGTGCTGGAGCTGATAGAACTGCGGGAGCTGGGCGCAGCCCGTTCCCTGTTGCGGCAAACGGATCCCATGAGCATGTTGAAGCAGCAAGAGCCCGAGCGGTACATTCATTTAGGTATTGTATTGGATTCGGGCTCCTTGGATAAACGTTCAAGTGTGGATCTTTCGCAGAAAACATGTTGCAGCGTGCATACTTCGATCCCCGTGAAGCGTATGCGGAAGGCAGCAGCAAGGAGAAGCGCCGCACAGCCATCTCACAAGAGCTGAGCGGTGAGGTGCATGTGGTGCCCTCGTCCAGGCTCTTGGCCTTGCTGGGTCAAGCCCTAAAATGGCAACAGCATCAGGGACTTCTTCCTCCTGGTACCACGATCGATTTGTTCCGCGGCAAGGCGGCCATGAAAGATCAGGAGGAGGAAATGTATCCCACACAGCTGTTCCGGCAGATCAAGTTCGGACAAAAGTCGCACGTGGAGTGCGCTCAGTTCTCGCCAGATGGGCAGTACTTGATAACCGGAAGTGTCGACGGATTCCTGGAGGTGTGGAACTTCACGACTGGCAAAGTGCGAAAGGATTTGAAGTACCAGGCGCAGGACCAGTTCATGATGATGGAGCAGGCGGTTCTAGCCCTGAATTTCTCGCGCGATTCTGAAATGGTGGCCTCTGGTGCCCAGGATGGCCAGATCAAAGTGTGGCGCATCATCACCGGCCAATGCCTGCGAAAATTTGAGAAGGCCCACACCAAGGGCATTACCTGCCTGCAGTTCTCCCGCGATAACAGCCAAGTGCTGAGTGCCTCCTTTGACTACACGGTGCGACTGCACGGCCTGAAGTCAGGCAAGATGCTCAAAGAGTTCAAAGGCCACTCATCCTTTGTCAACGAGGCCACATTCACGCCTGACGGCCACAGCGTACTCAGCGCTTCCTCCGATGGCACGGTCAAGGTGTGGTCCCTCAAAACCACAGAGTGCGTCGCCACCTACAAACCGCTGGGCAATGAGCTGGCGGTCAACACTGTCCTCATCCTGCCCAAGAATCCCGAGCACTTCATTGTCTGCAACAGATCGAACACGGTGGTAATCATGAACATGCAGGGCCAGATTGTGCGATCATTCTCGTCGGGTAAGCGCGAGGGTGGAGCCTTTATCTCGGCTACTCTTTCACCGCGCGGCGAGTTCATCTACTGTGCTGGCGAGGATCAGGTGCTCTACTGTTTCTCCGTCTCCTCGGGTAAACTGGAACGTACTTTGAATGTGAGTTTTTACTGACATTACACTCGTTGCTGGTCCCTTGTAAATACTTTTATTTAACAGGTTCATGAAAAAGATGTCATTGGCCTGTCCCATCATCCGCACCAGAATCTTCTGGCCAGCTACAGCGAGGATGGACTGCTGAAGCTTTGGAAGCCATAGATCACCTAAGCGTTTGCCAATTGACTTTCGTACCTAGTTTTAGTTCCAGAAATACACCTACTGCCCCCGATTACGATTACTTTAAGTTTCGAGGTGTTTTCTTGGATTTTCTCTTGCCCTGCCCTTTCCCCACATCAATATCTTCAATCGTGTCTCCATATGAAACAAATTGACTTTAATTAAGCATTATGCAAAGCGACAACGTGCGCAGCCGTCTCCCAGGGCCCTAATCCGCAGAGCACAGAGCTTGCTTCAATTGCTGGCTCAGCGCTTAAATTAGTCGAGCAACCACACTCAACGGGTTCACTTGACAGCCCCAGTCCCAGACCCAGTCAGCATGAAGAGCGACGAGATCATTGACAAAATACGCAACAAGCTGAAGGAGTCGGACCCTGGCCGCCGCACTGTGGTCAACACGTTTCAGTTCAACTTCACCGATGCCGACGGCAAGCTAATCAAGAGCATGGGTGAGTGAGTGCTGGACCATTGGCCAGACCACCGATGACCGTCTCACTGTAGTCTTTGATTTCAAAGCATTGAACATCTACGAGGGCAGTGCAGCCAGTGCCGATGGACAGGTTACTATATCCGATGAGGATTTCTATCTGGTCGGCACCAAACAGAAGACTTTCCAGGAGATTTTACAGCAGGACAAGGCAAAAATCGAGGGCGATGAAGAGGCAATCAACAAAATGTTGCAGAAATTTCGTATAAATTCCCAGAACTGAAGTATATCTGATAAACGTACACCTACAATCACATATATGTAGATATATAAATGCGTTTTTGTATTCATTTAAAAATAATCGTAGCACTGTTCCGGCCGCCAAGGATTGTAACAAAATAAATAACTGCAAAATAAACATTTTCTTTTGAATGAAAGATTAACCCTGTTAACCCTCCACCCATCTCAGTAATTGTAAAAATTGTTTCAACGTTTTGAAATTCAATTGGTTTTATTATTCATTTATTTAATTACCTTTATTTATATTTAATGTTAACATGGAATTGTTTTTGTAGGTGTTTCCTTTTAATTTGAAATTTTTGGTTTCTTTGGCGTATTATTATTATTTTTCAACTATTTTTTCTGTTATTTGGCACGACGCAACGTTTTGGTGCCAATGAGTGCGTCTGAGATTCTGAATTTGATTTCTGACTGCTGTTTTTGTTTCTGGTCTCGGATTCGGATTTGAATTCTTTTTGGATTCATCTGTGTGCTCCTGGCCTGCCTGGCTTCTTGCTTACTTTTAGATTTAATTGTAAATTTAACATTTGCTCTTTTGGGGTGTTTTATTTTAACTTTTAGTGTTACCTTAGTAAACGCTTTTTAGTTTAAAACATCTCTTCTTGGGGGAGGTTTCATTGGGGCTTGCTTTCTCGAACATTTTATTTGCGTTTTTCATTAGTTTTCTGCTTTAGTACTATTTCCTTTTTAATTTATTTTTAATTTTTATTGCTAAAACACAAATTCCGATTTTGTTTATTAACTAATTGAATTGTTTGTTTCTGGGTTTCTTCCTCCTTTTTTTTTAATATTTGGTTTTATGCAATACAACAACAAAATTTGTACACTTAAACTAAAGTTTTTTTATACGAATTATTTCTTAGGATTTACTTGATCATTATGCGCTTTTAATGCAACAATTTAACAACGTTTTACTTCCTCAAGGTAATTGTATTTACTTTCTGTTTTACTCATTACTTATTTATTTTTGTTTTATTAATTTAGCATTTGTAACACCTACATACGTTTATTATAAATGGTTTTTACGTTAAACGGTTTATGTTTCCTTCGCTGATTTAAGCCATTTTCTTTAATTTCGAATGCTTTCTGCTGCAAAACGTACGTGCGCTATGAAACCAATACTTATTCATTTGACTTTACGAAACATTAGGGAATTTACTATCGATTGAGAGCTCCAAAACGGAGGAAACTGACTGAACGAAACCTTAAAATATACACATAAATATAAAAATAATTACAATACAATAAATGAACACTATAATATAATAATAGTTGGATGTAAACGATTGCCAAATCTTGGTTTGGCGAAAAGGAAATTAAATTGAAATTGATTTCTCGATTTGTATTTGTATTTGTATTTGTGTTTAGTTCATTTTAGTTTAGTTTCTTGTATAATTTATTTTATTATTATCGTTCCCTTTAGCGTATACATTTTTATAAATATTTTGTTCGCCTTAAATGTTTATAAAAATGTGCTTAAATAGACAAAAATCTTTGAATTTATCCCGTTTTATCTCCAACCCATTTCCGTTTCTCGAATCCATTTACCATTAAATATTTACCATTTTTGGGGCCGCTAATGAATGCTTTATTTAATTTCCTTCGCTTATAAACTCCTCGATCTAGCATTATTTAACTCTGCGCTTTTACTCTTTGCTGGAAGATACAGTTTTGATAGTCACTAATTCTTTTATTTATGCATTTTTCCACCTCTCGCCACTGCGGTTTTTGTTCTTGTTTTTTGTTTGTTGTATGTTTGATTTTTGTGTAGCTTCAAGTGTCGAAGATTTGTTGTATTGTACGTACAAAATGTGTAAATAAGGAGTCATGTCATGCGCATATGATTAGGTAGTTAAATATTATTGTTTTATGCCCTTTAGTGTGTTGCTGCTGCCTCTATTCTGTATTGGTTTTATCTATCGATTTTGGTTCGCGAGAATGTGTATTCATTTATTGGCGCTAACGCTCATCGTCTCGCTTTTTGTATAATTAATTCAATTTATGCTTCACCTAAATATTACTCGTATCAAATATAAAAATCAACAACTTTATTTTTTTGTTTTTTGTTTGGTTTTCCCCTTGTCTGCGGTCTCTTGTGGCTATGAAAATGATCGTACTTCCGGCACTTCCTCTTCTTCTACTTCTCGCTTTTTACACATCTGTCCT